TTATGACGTGGAGGGGCTTTGGGGTTTTTTACCTACTATTATTTGCACTCCATCCTTTAGCTTTGGCTTAATTAAGACTTTCATGGAAATGTGAAGCAGACAAACTAAGTAGAAACAGAATATACAAAGCACAAGTCTTTGTGCTTTCATTTTACCTTCAGCAAACTATATGAGATTATAAACTGTGTAAAACAATAGAAAATACAAACTCCCACTTGAGAAAGCAATCAATTATGTTCTTATACAACTTCTTAAGTATGGAATTACCTCTACATTTATTTAAGTCCCGTTTACTGAGAGCAAGTATGTGTTAAAGGCTTTCTTGACTCAGAATCAAATTTTAAAACTATCAGCTATTAGCTAAACTATTACTCAATTTTTACTGAGAAAAAACAAAGTTTTAGGGAAATGGCATTATGATATGTCCTATGACTTTTAAGGGTAATCAGGGATGTCATTAAAGAGTCTGTGGATCTGCGAGCTAAGTAAAAATTAGTATTTCATTGTTGAACCTTAATCTTGATAATTTATTGTTAACTTATCAAGACTCATAACCTTGGGATTATCATTCACTAAAAGCAGACATGTTCAAAATACTACATACTTCCTGCCATCCAAATGTCAGTTCTTGGCAGATATAAGGGGCTTTTATGACTACTAGCCTTAAAAAATGTCTTACCATCTACTGGTCTTTTCTGTTCACTTCCATTTAAGGATGAGAAGTGTTTCGCTGCAGAGTGCTCAGATCACCTGGTTACTGAACTGAATCTCCATCTCCCACTTCTGTGCAATGAAATCTTTTAAAATCTATTCACTCTAGCTGCTAAAGGGGGATCAAATATATTTAGCTCTAGGAATAGTGCTAGGAATCTTTGTCTAGCTTGTGATGGAAGAATATATTTGGTGAAATGGTAAAATAATACCAGTTTGTAACTGAGCTAGGTTCAAGAGACCACCAAGGTAGCTCAAGCTCATCAGAAGCTATCTCAAGCACCAGAGCTACAGTTCAGTCTGGTCTATCAGTTTAGTGCCAGTGACATTCTTCTTCTCATTTGAGTCAACAGACCTTTGGGGTTTGGTGGCTGTTGGCACATAATACCAGCCTTTGAAATACTGGTTGCTCAGCCAAAGTTAACAGAAACAGCTGCAAAACAAGATGTCATTATCTCTGGGTCTTGCTCTGAGTGAGCTACAAGTGCACTGCCATCTGCAAAGAGCAGTTCTTTAATAAGGGGACTTCTGAAGCCTTTGTTTCTGCATATAAACAACCCAAATTATAAATGTCGCTTGGGGAAATCTGAAACCGGACACTCAGAGACAGACTCTCTGTTTGTTCGATTTGTTGCTACTGCAAAAATAAATTTCTGTAACACTTGAGATGCTGTAGTTCTAAACACTTTTTGCAAGCCAGCTTTCCATCCAAATAGCCAACTGAAGATGATCACTTCTTCAACTCATTTGCTTTGTGCCAAAGACGAAGAGTTAGGTTGGGGGTTTGGTGGTTGGGCTTTTTTAAATTTTCATGTTTTTCTGCATAGCAGCATAGAAAGGTCTATTTAATTCTTTAAACTCTTCCTAATAGTGTCAAATAGCATTAGCCTGATAGTTACAAACAGCCATGGCTGTAAAAGAACTGTGGTATTGCACGGACATAGCTAAGAAAGATTCAAAGCAGTATTTTGCATAAAGCAGACCATAAATACACAGTCATCTTTGTAACTGCAGCACATTTTTCTAACCCATTGCCTAGTTGATAGTACAAATGTAAGTGTCTTTAAACTGTTGCAATACTGCTGTTTACAGAGAAAAAAAATATATAAGATCAGTGGCTCAAACACATTTTAAATATTTCATTTTGTATCACATTGAAGCAATGCTGGGGGCATGAAAGAAGATCATGACTTTCTGATCAATTTGAAGTCTTTGGCTATTGATTTGTTTTAATGATAGCCTTTCTTTTTTTTTTTTAAGTTGAAGATAGGCAGAGATTGCTATTAACTGAATGTAATCTTGAAGAGTTCATGCCCATGACAAATTTTAAACATCTTGTATTCTACAGGTAAAATATGAAGTTGACTGAAATTATACAGTCAACTAATAATTATGTAGACTTAATACTGGAATATAAGAAACCTAACTTCATGTCCACTAAAGTCAATAGGAATACAGACATTAAAGATCACAAAGTTGAAGTAAAATGATTTTATTAGACTCACATGGACTCTTTGCACCAGAAAGCCTTCTCATGTGCACGGTGTTCTAGATTTTCACAAGCCCTTTTATAATGCATTGCTCCATCCATCCAAAAGTCAGCGACAATTCATTGGAAAAACAATTACAACAGGTTTTAATAAAAAAAACAATGAACGCATGGTAATAAGGAAACTTTGGGTTAAGAAATTCAAAGAAGCATGGAGCAAGACACATGAACCAGGGAGAAAGGATAAAAAGGCCTGGAAGAAAAAGTCATTGAATGCAATTGCAGGGCTCTAAAATAGGCACAAGGATTAGGCAGTGGTCAGAACAGAGCAGCTGAACAGCTATTGAAAGGAAGTGGATTTATAAACAGGAGTTCAAGTAACAACAAGGAATGGCTTCAGTGCAGGAAACTATGGTAAATAGGAATGGCTGGGCTTGCTCAGCACTGTGGGAAACATTAACAGAGCCATAAAAAGCCGAAACCTTTTATTCATTTAAACGTTTTAAGCATAGCATTTTCCAACTTATAATTTTTTTTTTTTTCTGGTATAGGGATAAAATTATTTCCTTTCTTTCCTATGCATTATTCAGTCTCCCTTTTGGGTTGAACATCTGCATATACTTTCTATGCACCTACTAAATCTTTAGGAGAAGACACTTACTACGATGGGTTTCATAGCTTTTGTCAGAGTAGAACTGTCTTCCTAATATTAAGAAGGTACTGAAGGCTTACTGTCTTCAGTATGAAGTCAATAAGCTCCAACATATGAGCTTAAAGTTAAACAAGTCTTAACACTACTTCCTAAACATGGAGGCTTTTCTGAATTGAGGCCTTAGAATAGAACTGGTGCTTTTTAAAGCTGTAGGAAGGTACCCAAGCAATATTTTAAGCATTGCAATTAACAAATAAAAACACTGTTAACATTTCATAATATGTTTTATCCCTTTTTAATGCTCTTTTGAACACTATTTCTAAAGAAAGGGAACATAAGCTAAATTTCCATAAAGACTTCCAAGTTGCCATGCACTCGAATGTTTAACTTGGAGGTACACCTACATCTTTATTTAGGTACGTAACTAAAAATGGCCTGATTTTCTGAGGACAAGACTCTACATGTAGGTAGTATTTTCATTAGGACACTTGGAATAGTTGGAAAAAACAATTTTTCCAGCTCTCAAGCTCTTCTTCAAGTCCTAAACAAAAGCTTAAACATCAAGCTAAATATCAGTTGCTCTTAGTTTAATTATTTTAAATTAGCTGAACAAGTCAAGAGAAGTCTGTTGATGCACAAGGAGCAGAGGGGGGTGTTTGCTGGGGAAAAGGTGATAAGGTATGAGCAACTATAAGACAAAGAGGAGACAGGCTGCAAAAAATTTGCTTGGACAGAACGTGACATAAAATCAGTGATACAAGTGTCTTCGGTTAGCCAATAACCTTTGGTGTCAAGCAGAGTTGACGTCCAGTTCTCAGACTTCTCCTCCACAAGGATCAAGATCAGAAAAAAACAGATGCGATGGCTTCATGAGGAGTGACTTTCAGGGAGGTTAACACTGACTTTCATCCTTATGATTCAGAATTTGAAGCTTCTATCCCAGAAGTCAAAAAGTAAGCCATACAGCCATGACTGCTACTGCCATGTTAAATTAGTTATGTTTTGAATACGGAGTCCTGGGAGCTGAGATGGTTTTGATGTGCCTATGCTGTTACGGCTCTCATGCAAGTTAGCCCTTCTGGACTGCTTCCAATCCTTTTAATTTCAGCCCTACCAACATACATGCAGTTTTGGCTTCAGTTTTTGTAGCACTCTACTTTGGGATCCAGATGGGCTACACAGGCGTCTAGACCAGTTTCGCGAAGCGAATTAATACGAGTTGCTGGCAAGGCAGAGTACCACCTTAACCCAGCCTTGTGCCTTTTTGTACCATCTTGCCAGATTGTTTTGGCCAAGTGGTAAACGCAGCAATGTGTTCTCTCTTGAGATATTAACATTTCTGGATTCATGGCATGATTTGACAGGATCCAGATGCCAAATATGTATTTTTCCAGCTCTGTTGCCTTGAGGCATATCAGGCTCCAGATTGTTAAGGTGCAGTAGAGGGAAGCTAAATAATGTTCTCTGTTGAGGCAAAATTTGGAAACTGGAGTTTGGAAAGCTGGGGCAAACTACCTGGCAAGACCTGGCAAGATTCAGGATTCAGAGCCAGATTTTCAAAACATCTTGATCTTGATTCTCACGGTTGCAACTGACAGATCCACGCTAGTTCTTTATTCAGGCATCATGCTGTAGGTGCCCGACATCCAAAAGTTACTCTGGCACGAAATCCCCACCCGTCTCTCAGCTGCATGGGGAGAATGAAGAGTTGGATAGTGGTTTATACATCTACTTTTTACTTTTATTTTTGGTTTATTTGGACATACCGGTGTGGGGACAAGAATAAAAAGAAGCAGGAGCCCAGCACTGCTGGCGTTTCACTTTTTACCACCGCGGCGCGTTGCTCCTG